ATAGTTATTTTGATTCAGTTTGACATCATTAAACCCTCACTTACAGTTCATCTTTATTTTATTTATTTGCTTTATTCTAATACTTTAATAATGTTGTTAAAAGTAATGTTTAGCCAATTGCAAAATTAATACCCTTTTTTTATACTGTACATTATAACATTGTGAGGTCTAAATTCAATTGTAGCATTTAAATTGATGGATTTTAGTTTTGTTTTCAGTTTATTTATACAAAATAGTCAAATTTTAATACTGACAGTTCGGCCAAAACATTAAAATAATTATTACTTTTGGCCTGATATATCAGACAGAATTTTAATATCGTTGCATGCCTAACCTAACACATCTTTTTTTTATTTGATCCTGCAAGTTTATTTTCAACCACTGTTTTAAAGGTCTCAGCATGTACTAGCACGAGGCACTGTTGACTGTCAAAATAGTGTCAGGCAAGCTTGTTTTCACCAGCTGCCCACACAGACACCACCGCGCTTACCCAGACAGCACTGAAAACACTGCATGTACTGCGGCCGTGTGATGACATTTCAACTGCTTTTCTGTGACGCAAACCCTGTTTGACTCTCAAAGCCCACTGTCATCCTCTCTGAAGCCTTTAGACCTCCAGTAAGTCGGGCAGTGCAGTCAGCTGTACTCGTTGTGGGGCGCAGGGAGGGATTGAGGTGAGGTTAGGTACTTTAGGATGGAAAATATAAAGCACAGCTGTGGGCCTTGGCCATCTTAGGAGCTGGGCCTTTTGCCCGTCTGCGGCAAGAGGACAAGTGCCATATTCCAGAGGCCAGTGAAGTACCAACCACATCCAACCAGAGCTGAAGTATATTGTGCAACTGGGCACCACAGTTAACTCAATGCAAAATAGCTGCGTGCAAAAGAAACCTCCCTGCGAGGAGCATGCATGAATCATCACCATGTCCAATAAGGGTAAGCTGTGTCATGTCAGGGGAATTAAAAAAAGATTACTAATGTACAGTTCCATTCAAAAGCCTTATTTTGCTGATCATTATGCATGTTTTCTTAAAACAGCCTGGAAAATTTTTAACATTCAGAATATTTGAATGTAGCGAAGTACTCAGAAGAATTCAGGGATAATCTTAAGCAATGCACATATTATGATTTATATTTTATAAATAAATTCTTAGAACACAGTTCTTATATATATATATATATATATATATATATATATATATACACGTGTGTGTGTAAATATATTTTATAACATTATAATATAATTCATAATCTATAATTTAACTATATAAATAAAATATACATTTTAATAACAATAATATGTAATTTGTGTAGTGAGAAAATAAAACACACACACATATATATGTTGTAATTAAATATTAATGTAAATATTGTAAATATATTTTATAATATTATAATTTATAATCTATCATTTAACTATATAAATAAAATATATATTTTAATAATATGTAATTTATTTGTGTAGTGAGAAAATAAAACGTGTGTGTGTGTGTGTGTATTTAT